GTGTTGATAAATAACTTGAACGTTCCGTTATAGCCTATTCATACAGCCAGTCATTTTTATTTTAATATTTATTATATTTAATTTTGAATGAACAACAAGCTTGTTAATATGTTAACATTGCTACACTAGCCAATAGTACATTATATACAAATTCACAGAAATTATGTTTGTAAAAGAAAAGTATTTTTTAAATAATTAGCTGCGTAATGCGGAATAATAATGTCAAACATGCGAAAACGTAATTGAGAACAGACTGTAAGTTCAAATCAATACTTGAAACTAGTTTCAACTGAGTAAAACATAAAACGCGTTCTATAATAAGATCGATGCTTAAGATTTGATCTGCACTTAAAACTAGTTTCAGGCAATCAGAGTTCAACCGACACTTGAGACGTCTTTTAAAATACGGGCCTAGGTGTTCTTTGTGTCCGTTTCATGTATGTTTGTAAAGGCCTTCACGACCCAGGATTAATTCCTAGTGCGGGAGTTGTCCTTTTAAAAAAAAGAAAACTTGCATATGTATACATGTCTTTTGCGTGTATCTCGAGAACGGCTTTGATGATTTGGATATTATCTGTATTCAGATTCCGTTTTGCTTAATAAGGTTTAGGTTTTAGGTTTGTCAAAAAAAAATCAAAAAAAGTGCGAGTCTGCCTTGCGTACCGTGGGTTCCGTAACCAAACGAACTCGTCTAAACCGATATGGTTTTTATTTTCATTCATTACCATAAGTAACAGTTGTTTTATTTTTTATTTTCTAATTCATAATTAATTTATTGACATTGCACATAAGTTTGTGTCCCAAAAGTTTTTTTTTTGTTTTATGGAATAGGGGGCAAACGAACAGACGGGTCACCTGATAGACAGCGAATACCGCCGCCCATGAACGCCTGCAACTCAGTTGACACGTAGACAAAAAAAAAACTGTTGATTCGAAGCAAAATGGCTGTCACACGCACGATTGTTCCTATAATTGTACGACACCTTAACAACAGCCGATACAATTTTTCTTCGAGTTCTAAATCAACGGCGAAGGTCGTCATGGCGTTCAACATGTCTTAGAACTAATAAATCACTCAGCGAATACATTTTTATTATATAAATAATTTATTAGTTGTGTATCATTACTAATCATTAGTTCTGTTACTAGCTGAATTGTTTGTGTTTAAAATACATTGAAAAGTACATAAATTATTCTAGTTTAGTCTATTACCTCGTTTAGGAGAAGTGACGTAAGAATAAAAAACAAAAACTTTAACAAAAGAAACCGACTTCAAAAAACACTATTCCAAAACAAATTATTATGCACTAAAAAGCATAAAAATAAATGCATATTCTTCTACAACTTAATAATCAACTTACTTTTTCTACTCATCTATATGTAGGTACGATCTATGTCTTTACCACGCAAGAAGGTAGGTAGGAACCTACCCACTTCAAATCTAACTCAACATATACCTATGAATAACAAACAGCGATCTAAATATTTATTCGAGTTCTCCTAATTAAAATGAAATTAATATAATGTAGTTACAATTATTGTTATTTTTGGAATTGGTCAAAATCAAAGAAGAATCATCAAAATCTGTTCACCTAGTCAAAAGTTCTGAGGTAACAAACATAAAAAAAAAACAGTCGAATTGAGAACCTCCTCCTTTTTTGAAGTCGGTTAAAAAATATTTGACTTGGACAGCGTAGTTGTCTAAGCGGTCATCTCGGCGCTTTCTACTGATCCTGCAACACGTTAAGTGCTGAGGGTTCGATCAGTACATGGGACAACACTTTGTGTAATCCACGAACTGCTGTTCTGAGTCTAAGGCCCGTATTTTAAAAGGTGTCTCAGTCGTGAATCTAGTCTTAAAACTAATTTTAAGTAGAGATTTTATTATTGAACGTCACTTAAAACGAGATTCACCGATCCATACTCAAGTGAGTGATAGCTTATTTTAGAACGATGTTTATGTCGAAATCATTACTCAGGTATAGATTTTGACAGCTGTGATCTTTGTTTACGTGAGACAAGCTGAAACCAGTCTCAAGCGGTGATTTCTAGGGCATTTAGGGGAAATGAATGTGTTTTACGATGATTTCTTTTTGAATAATTACGATTTAGATTTATTATAGAAGATTTACTTTACTTTATTTACGAAAGAATTACTTGGCATACTATCATCAATTTCACTTTCATTTACCTTAATTGATATGAAATTCACCAAAATTCACATTTTACACACACAATACCAAAATTACCACAACCTTTTGGTTTATGTTAAAAGTATAGTAATTTAAATTTTAGAAATATCAAATAAAAACATTGACAAGTGTTGATAAATAACTTGAACGTTCCGTTATAGCCTATTCATACAGCTAGTCATTTTTATTTTAATATTTATTATACTTAATTTTGAACGAACAACAACCTTGTTAATATGTTAACATTGCTACACTAGGCAATAGTATATTATATACAAATTCACAGAAATTATTTTTGTAAAAGAAAATTATTTTTTAAATAATTAGCTGCGTAATGTGGAATAATAGTGTCAATCACGCGGAAACGTAATTGAGAACAGACTGTAAGTTCAACTCAATACCTGAAACTAGTTTCAACTGAGTAAAACTTAAACGCGTTCTATAATAAGATCGATACTTAAGATTTGATCTGCACTTAAAACTAGTTTCAGGCAATCAGAGTTCAACCGACACTTGAGACGTCTTTTAAAATACGGGCCTAAGGCCCGTATTTTAAAATTCAGTCGTGAATCTAGTCTCTACTTTTATTATTGAACGTCACTTAAAACGAGATTCACCGATCGATACTCAAGTGAGTGATAGCTTATTTAAGAACAATGTTTATGTCGAAACCGCAGGCTCACATGTTGGTGGGAATCTAGGGAATTTAGGTATTTAGGCGTAAGTTACGTACGAGTATTGATCGGTTCACTACGGCGCCCGCTCGATCGCGTACTTAGGTTGTAATCTTAGATAGACTTTCGGTCTTACACTGACGAGGCAGTACAGACCAATTTTGTATTAACTACTAGCTGGCCCGGCAAACGTTGTCTTGCCATACACATTATTGTTGTATGTATTTTTCAATGCTAAATCATAATAAAATAAAATACCCTTATCATTTAGGGGTATGAAAAATAGATTTTGTCCGATTCTCAGACCTACCCGATATGCACACAAAATTTCATAAGAATCGGTCCAGCCGTTTCGGAGGAGTATGGTAACTAACATTGTGTCACGAGAATTTTACATATTGGATAATATAAAGTAATGTATGCATGATGAATAATAACCTCGAAATTTTGACTTTTGTACTGTGACAATTAAAACCGTGTACTCAGGTTTACAGTTTCTTGAAGCTGTTAAAAATCAAACTTCTAAGTTAACGTGGAAAAAAGATAGGGCCGTTTCTGCCGCAAAAAACGTATATTTTGACGCAAGTCTTATACTACAAGTTCAGGAGATCATCATCAACAGCCTATAACAGTCCACTGCTGGACATAGGCCTCTCCTTAGAAAGGAGGTTTTGGCCTACTATACAATGCTGGCCAGACGGGTTGGTATAGGGTTTGTTTCAAGTTTTCCTTCTCTTTGCAGTGCTGTTGTCCTGCGTAGTTTGGTCCCTTAGTCGGCTCTTACGACACCCACGGGATGAATAGGGGTGGTGACATTACGTATTCTTATTCCGTCACCACACGGAATGAGTTCAGGAGATATTTGTAATTAAATCATAAAAAATAAAGTTTTTACTTAAAGTATGTAATCAACCATATGGTTATTGATGTGTGAACTTATGTCATATTATGGTTTATTTACATGATATTCGGTTATTTCGTTTATATTTCTATTTCTCTATATTTTCTTAAATTTACTCTGTACACACGACTCTCTCTTGTTGTGCTATCCTCTCTTCACTCTTGGGTTTGCTGGAAGAGACCTCAATTATGGGTTAAGCTCGCCTCTGTGCCCACTATTCCTTAATGTATTTTTTCTATAAATGTTTATATGGTGTACGTAAGAATAAATAAATTAAAAAAAGATCATGGCGGTACAATTTCACTTGTTTTTTCTTCTCTCTACACAAAGAAATCAGACTACATCTAGTTTCAAATTTTGTAGTTCGTAGTTTAAAAGATCTAAGCGTACATGAAAAAAAAGCGACTTTAATTTATACTATGCAAAAAGATATAGGTTTTGGGAACTTATTTTCGGGACAAGCTCGGAAAAACCGCGATTCCTGAACTATTTATAATGTGTACCAACAAATTTGTAGGTAGGCGAGTCCGACTCGCATATGTCTCGCATATGATTTTTTTAAGGTATAGAGGGCAAACCAGCAACCTGAATGGTAAACACCTACAATCTGTGGCTTTCGAGGGCACATGGGACTTATACACTACACATGGAAATTATTGCTATTAGACACAGTGATTTCACATGTCATTGTGATTTGGCCATAGACAAAGATGAATGCCATTGAAATCAATCTAAATTCTTTTTATCAACGATTACGACCTTTCTTTTTTAGATTTAGACCTTTCACGAGTCTATCTAATAATATTAATAAGTCGCAGTGGTTCTGTAAGTTAGTCACAAGTGTGATTGTATTAATTACTAGCTGAGACCCGCGGTGTTACCCGCGTTTGTTGTTATAACCGCGGGCAACGCCGCGGGGCGAAGCTAGTCTAAAAAAAGTAGCCTAAGTTACTCCTTATGTCATCAGCTATCTGCCAGTGAAAGTCCGGTCGAAATAGGTCCAGCCGTTCTAGAGATTACCCGGAACAAACAAACAGACAGACAAAAATGGTAAAAAATGTTATTTTGGCATATGTACCGTGTAAACATACATATGCATGGAAAAAGCGGTTATTTTAATACTACAAACAGACACTCTAATTTTATTTATTTGTATAGATCATAGATAAATCATATGAATTATCACAGTTTGTTATGATTTTATACCATTACTAGTATACAGTAATCACTCACTTCTATCCGCCATACTTCTAAACCTTCCTTCCTGCCGGAGCTGGCGAAAGCTGAATGTACTTCTGGCATTATCTGAAACAAGAAAATTTGTCAACGATAAGTAGGCAAGGTCGTGAGTTCGAATCCCACCTAGGACAAATATTGTGTGATAAACACCATCATTTGTTCTGTGTCTGGGTGTAACTTATCTAAAATATGTATGTATTTAGAAATATACATATAAGAATGTTTATCAGCAGTCTGGTTACCATAGGCCCCGCCTAGTTTGGGATCAGACGGCCGTGTGAGATCTGTCAAAATAAAAAAAAGGTAGATTTTCGCGAAAATTTGTAAGTACCAAAATTTATCTTAATTTTCAACTTTTTTTATTTTTTGGAATTATTCCTTTATTTGTGCTGTAAGACGTTTCTTTTTGCCTCTGCGTTTGGGTAAATTTTGGTACTTGAAGTTTTCGCGAAATTGGAATTTGCCTATATTTTTAGACCTTGATTTTTATACACCTAATAGGGACCATAGACCTCAGTATCTGGTATAAATTTTAACTTGCTAGGTCTACCCGTTCCTGGCAAAATCGGTGGTGGCACACGGACAGACGGACAAGAAAGTGATCTTATAAGGGTTCCTTTTTTACCTTTTGAGGTACGGAACCCTAAATAAAAATTATTTTTTCCCAAACTAGGCAGAACTAGTATTATAGTAACCCGACTGCAGATGAACATCCATACTATCCATTCTATCCATACTAATATTATAAATGCGAAAGAGTGTATATCCGTCTGTCTGTATGTTACCTCTTCACGGTTTACCCGCCGAACAGATTTAAATGAAATTCGGTATACTCTAGTATAGAGATAGTTTGGTCCCGGGAAAGGACACAGGACAGTTTTTATCCCATAAATCATCCTTTAAGGGAGTGAAAAGGGAGGTGAAAGTTTGTGTCGGAAATCAATAACCGCTAAACCGATTTAGATGACATTTGGTATGAAGATAGTTTGATTCTTGAGGAAAAACAAATGCGACTTTTTACTGTAATAACCAACATAACTTTATAACTTTTTCCCGGGCGGGGCCGCGGGAAAAAGTTACTACTTATATATTTCACAACACATGCATATTACAGACTAGCTGACCCGCGCAACTTCGTCTGCGTCTCTCAATAGTAATAAATTGTCTCCGTTTTTGAAACATTCTTCATTGGTGCTCCGCTCCTATTGGTCTTAGCGTGATGATATATAGCCTATAGCCTTCCTCGATAAATGGACTATCTAACACTGAAAGAATTTTTCAAATCGGACCAGTAGTTCCTGAGATTAGCGCGTTCAAACAAACAAACAAACTCTTCAGCTTTATAATATTAGTATAGATAAATAACACCCAGACACAGAACAAATTTTATTTTATTTTTAGGAACAAGACAGTCCTGGACAGATTTCTTAAATTTGGGTAAAGAAATATGGAACATATCTACGGAATCATCATTATGAAAATTAACGAGACTATTAAATGAGCGGCAAGATCACAATACAAACCCAAACCCTCCTTTCTAAGGAGAGGCCTATGTTCAGCAGTGGACTAGTAATGGCTGTTGATGATGATGATGATGAAGATCTCAATATAAAGGCATTCCGCCTTGTTTTTTACGTGATCACTTAATGAGATCCGCAAATCGTTGTTCTGAGACTGGGTGTTTATTGTGTCCGTTTCATGAATGTTTGTGAATGTTGCAACACACATGATATGAATATATTCTCAGCGCGGGAGTTGTCATTTTAAAAAGAATTCGATTAAACACACACATCGACGTGAGCAAAACTACTTTTAAAAGTAATAATTATAATAATTTACAAAAACAAGCCTCTTTTTCTAAGTGTCGGATGTTAAAAAACTGAAATCTGAATCACATTGCATTTTAATTTTTTTCTTTCCAACATAAATACGTCTGACTTCAAGGACGACATGTTAACAATTGATGCCGTTGTCTCACTCACTCGTAAATTGTTTATATTGCTGTCTCTCTCTTAACCCGCTGATGTAGATTTGTTAAGGAAATTGAAGCGGGTTTTTTTTTCTATAGACCTTTTGTTTTGGCATACAGCGGCTCTTAGCAACAAAATAGGTCATTTGTTGGTTGTTTTAACAAGAGTTTTCTCAAACAGTTCAAACCTTGTAACCCTTCGTGGGACGGCGTCACACGGTGGACAGAAAACAGGTTTTTATACACTTAGGGATTTAAATTTGCAAGTGCCATATTATTTCTTAATTTAAATATTGTTAATATGCTTCATATCGTCGGGGTATCAGGGATATCCTTCCTAGGGTGCACCTGGTTCCCCGGCAACTGGTACCCAAGACGGCGTGCGGTATTTGGTCGGTTCAAGTCCGACATCACCACCGGTGGGTAGTATCCGAGGAGATTTCCGCACGGAAAAAAATAAAAAGGAGACTCGTATGCTCGTTTGACTTGTATACCATAAAAAAATACCGTCGCGGCAAAATACCGGCTACTCAGGGTCAAGTTCGGGTCAGGCTTGACTCCTAAAGAGGCAGCTTAGAAGCGTTTTGCATCTCTGTGATCTTTATAAGCTCACTAGTTTTTACCCGTGGCTCCGCCCGTCGTCGTTTATCACGGTAAAAGGTAGTCTATGTCCTATCTCAAGAATCAAACTATCTCCATACCAAATTTCATCAAAATCGGTTTAGCGGTTATTGATTGCCCATACAAATGATTATTTTTTTGAAAAATACTATGCCATATCCTTTCCTGGGACTCAAACTATCTCTGTACCAAATTTCATCTAAATCGGTTTAGCCGTTTAAGCGTGAAGAGGTAACAGGTACAGACAGACAGATACACTTTCGCATTTATAATATTAGTATGGATTTGGCCATCTTATCTGTGGACGCCTGTGCTTACCATTCCTTGGTCAGCATAAACTACATTTATTAGAAAACTTCGTGATTAAGTTTTAGCCATTTAATATATTATATTTTGGCCTATCATGGTAAAAAAAAACTGGTCAGGTACGAGTTGAACTCGTAGGCTAGGTCTACCCGTTCCTGAGAAAATCGGTGGTGACACACGGACAGAAAGTGATCTTATAAGGGTTCCTTTTTTACCTTTTAAGGTACGGATCCCTAAAAATACAGATTATACTGATCTTTGTGACAACTTTTGTTTAGAATTAGCGGGGGTCGGTTTAATTAAACAATGTGTGGCGTATATTTAATTGGTGCTACGGAAGATGTCACAAGCTCTTACAGCGTGGAGAGTATTTTTACATCGAATTGACCTTGGGTTTTTAAATAGGGTAGTGACAACAAGTATTGTTTTTACACGCTTTATATTAGCTTCACTTGTATGTTTGTTTGTATGTTTGTAACCGACTCCTTTGGGCGTGATTTTGACTGACTTTAAACGGTCAGAATTCGTTCAAACTTTGTAGATATATCGAGGACCGATGACAATACACTAATTTAAAAAAAATAGTTTTAAATTAAACTAAAAAACACGCTTTCTATAGAAAACCAAACTAAAAAATAGAAAATAAATTAGAAAAAAAGCGTGGGGTGCTTTTTACTATTGACAACAGGCAAAGATATAGAAAGCTTGTGTTTTAGTTTTTTAAAACTATATATTTTTTTAAGATTAAAAAATACGATTTAACGTATAATCGATTTGGAACAAAACCGGCCAAGTACGAGGTGGTTTTTAGTATTTGTTGTTACAGCGGCAACAGAAATACATCATCTGTGAAAATTTCAACTGTCTTACTATTACGGTTCATGAGATACAGCCTGGTGACAGACGGGATGACAGACAGACAGAAAGACGGATGGACGGACAGCGGAGTCTTAGTAATAGGTCATTTTAAGTTTAGGGTACGGAACCCTAAAAAGGGACCTCTATTGTCGACCTTCTGGCTTCATACGAGACGAGCAAAACCACAGAACAGTAACTAATGTAGTAATAGAACAGTAAATAATCTTCTGGTTTACCGTGGACCGCACTTCAAATGTTTGTTCACTGTTCTGCGGACAAACAAACAAATAAACAAAGAACTCAAAAAACAAAAAAAACTCCCAGACCTTCCTCAATCCTTTACGACCGTTAAGGGGCAGACCAGCAGTTTGACGCCATATTTGACTCTCATTTATAATATAGCTAATAAATAGACTAATAAATCTCTATATTACAACTATTTTCAGCCTTTAAACAAACAGCCTTAGAAAATAGGTTTTGGCCTACTATACCGAGCTGGCCAGACGAGTTCGAATAGGGTTTGTGTCAAGTTTTCCTGCTCTTTACAGTGCTGTTAGGCTGCCTAGTTGGTCCCTTAATCGACTCTTACGAAACCCACGGGATGAATAGACCCCTATTGTGAATTCACACACTCTGACATTACGCATTCTTAATCCGTCACCACACGAACAATTATTTTACTGTATAACTATTTATTTTTTCATAGATGTCCTTTTACACTCATTATTTCTACAAAACAATTTCGATGTTTCACAGCTGCCAGACGTTTTTAAAGAAATTTAAGCGGATTTTTCCCATACGTACAGATCTATCCAAGATAAATAGAATATGTTTTAAATTAGACGAAATATTGGGTTTCACAGTACTCAATGACGCATGACGCTGAGTGTATGTTTAGTATTTACTTCTCGGCAAATTAAATGTTAAATAAGAACAGATGTGTTGTCAGCACTCAACAGTAAGTGTGTGTACTGTTTTGTTTATTTCAGTAAAACAAGTAGGTTGGTACTTTGAAAAGTTAAGCAATCCCAGCCAGATCAGTCTATAGATGGAGACCCCAACACATTGAGACCCCTCCGTGCCTCGGTCCCAGTTGTCATACAAATATCTATGGCAATTTTTACGGGTAATTGAAGTGGTAAAAAGTCCGAGTCCATTTACAGAACTTCGATATCGCCTAGTACTTGGGTGGTGGAGGTCTGATGGCCGAGAGGATCAGCCGTATAGTGACTGAAAGCCGATCCCAACCTTGTTTGGCAAAAGCCCGGAGGATGACGATGAGGGCCATTTGCTGGCCAATCGTTCTTGGTGA